TATGCTTCTCCTGCTTCTCCTGCCCCCTTCTCCCTCTCTCCTCCCCTTCTCCTCCTTTCTCCAGCACTCTTACCCTCTAGTCTCTTGTGGTACTCTCACCGTCTTCACTTTCTCTTGCTCTGCCCAGGACCCTCTTACCATCTTGCTCTCCCTCCAACCAGCTTCCAACCACCTTGTTCTCCTCTCTTTGCAACCCAGGCCCCTCCAACCACACCTTTGTCTCTTTGCCTCCAAACACCCCATCCTCTTGGGCCCCTCCACCAAGGCCCCTCCAACCACCGTTCTCGACCCCACCGCCAGTTCCTGCTCGCAGGCGTGGAGCGTAAAGAATCGCCAGAGAAAATCGATAACGTGTGCAGTAAGGCGTGTTGACTGCGTTACTGACCCAAAGACGTACAGTATGTGACATGGGATAAGTTTACCCATTAGAGGGTTTCAGGGCGGAGCTTGGCTTGATTAATTGCCTGAATCCCTAAGTACCTGTGTTTAAACCTGAATCTTCTCACTGGTTTTAGAACACCCTCGTATGACTATTTTCCAACTTTATTTTTTGTTATTGACGGAGAAATGTTATGGTTTGCTGTACGTAGAAGGCAAACATGTAATGATACTATTAATTAATATCCCACATCATCCAAGCTATTCACTTCTTTCAGTAAGGTCACAGGTGAGGTCAAACTGATCTCTATCCATTAATATTGTGTAAATTTCCATTCTCATTTACCTTCGTATCAGCGCGGAGACGATTGTAAATATGAATTCGCTTTGTCTATATGTAGATATGTCACAAGTACGAAATGTCCTGATGTAAATTTTATGTGATGAGACTAGATAGGAATGTTTAAGCAAATATTTGTACAGGGTATATATGTATAAAGATCAGCAAAATAACAATAGACCTTAGCACTTGTAACCACCTCTAGTAGTGTGCTGTTACCAGTTCTTAAAAAGTTTCCTTTGTGGTCTGCGCACGCTTCCATTGTTATTTTAATAGCATTGAATTTACCCGCTACTTCCCATTCCTGATTTACCGCATACGGTCATATGTGTAAAGTAAACATACTCCTGTTGAGTAAGAGATGTTAAGAAGGTTTATACTCTAATTCATCCATTTGTTGACGAAGACTCAAAAGAAGCTTAATTTATATATATATACAGTATATCCATCCTCGGTCATCTGCGGTAAAGTTACGTAACCTAAACTTAAAAACAAATTTTGAGTAAACAAAATTATGTACCTGTTGTACCTAATTACAGTATTTCCTGGGATATACAGTATGTACACTGTACAGTCTCGTTCAAGGTTCTTCGAACACTGCTGGAGACAGCTGGCAACTCAAGGCCGTTTGTTTTCTATAGTACGTCGTAAAAATTAAGAATAAATGTAAAAGTGATCGGTGATTGGTTACTAAGTTCCCCGTTGCTTAATTTACTGGTTGGGCTTTGTTTCGTATTATTTTATACTACGTACTATAGTAAACAAACGGCCTTGAGTTGCCAGCTGTCTCCAGCAGTGTTCGAAGAATCTTAAGAGACTACAAACTAAGGTGGCGCAAATATACTAGTTCCTGGGTCTTTGGTAACCCATGATTTTAGGGTTTGTAAAAAAAATTCGAGTAAAACTAAACATCTTAAGTACCCATATATTATTGAAAATTGCAATTACAGTAAATGAAATGCTATAGGATAAAATAATACAAAAAACGTTTTGATTTTTGGCATCGCGTGCAGCTTGGGGTGTCCTTGACCAACTCGCACCATCACAGTATTTTTTTTATCGGTAAGCACGTTCATGGTATGGATCAACGTGCGTTATTACGTTATTGATGCTTTTCTGTCAAGTTCTGTAACCGTCTTTTATTTATTGTTCCAACACTACATACATAGGTGGGGGTATATTGATTCTATATTTGTTCAACTGTAGCCTAAGTAATGGGCCACCTCTACCTTGACCTCGTGTGTTGGCCGGACTGCACAGAAAGCAATAGAATCTTGTATGCTTCTCTGGACTTAAAGTCATGGACAGCCACAAGGAACGTACAGTAGTACACTAGTGACCTCTGGTAATGAGGAAAATAATGAGTTAAATGCTATAAATAAAGTTTTGTCAGTTTAAAAATAAAATCAAAATAATACATTTCGGTTGTTTGTTCGACTGGTCATTCAGATAGATGCCCTAGTTGGTAAGCCTGTCTTGTTAAGCGTAGCAATTTTTTTTTATAGATTATATTATTTTGCACGATTTCACAATGACTATCAAATGAACTCGTGAAATGCCCATAATTTATACCCTGTACTGTAATTAAGATGCGTTAACATAATCAGGACATAATTTGTTGAAATTTCTATTTATGACTGAGGAGGATATCGAGGTGAATGGGTACTGATATCCCATGACTACCTTGTTCACGTGATATCGGAGGAATTTAGTACAGTAATGAGGTCTGATACTGTTTACTGAACGATCAACCAGTTTGTTAGCTTATTGTTTACAGTCCATGGCCAATATAGTAACCGATAAACTTAATAAATGAATAAATAAAATACAGTACTGAAATATTATATGTTCGGCTTGCCCTCGTTTCAGTGTAATAGGGTTTTCCTCGTTAATTTTTGAGGTATCTGGACAACACCTCGTATAGATGCCTTCAAGTTTGAAACATAATGGCATCGGTCAGCATGTTGTATTTATCTTACCTCAAATAGTGCAAATAATGGTTTTATCCCGAGCCTACTAGGGGATATCAAGACCCATGCTGTCTCTTTTTGTGTGTTAGCTTTTTAAGTAAAGATAACCCGTGGTAACCATCTACACTACTGTACTGTACATGGTCTGAATTACCAGTCTTTTGAAGGATAAATATTGAAGGACTGACAATTTGGGTGTTAAGAATGACTGCTAGGACGATGTCATCTGCAGCTCACATGGTACACCCACTAAAAAAAGTATTCGGCATCCTTACGGCGTGATGCAATATGACACGGGTGCCGAATAATTTTTTAGTGGCAGTGATGTAATCGTCAGGCAAGTTTAAAAGAGATCAAAAGTGAAGCACTGTTTTGAAAGTCTTCTATATTATGGAATAAATAAGGAAACAATTGACAGCATGAGTGTTTGGCTCCACCTAGGACGGACATGGTGGTGAAGGGGCCGAACAGACAGGTTAATTGAGCATCTCACTATATTTATTTATTTTGTTTGGCTGAGAACTTAATATCCAAAGTAATGCAAAATAATAGGCCTACAATATTCATGTTAGGTGCGAAATATGTTAAAAGAAAACATGTCATGAGGAACAGGACGTTTAATGCAACACAATGATGATCTTTCACCAAGAATACTTGTGAGGCATTACTGTGCGAGGTTTTATAGCCTGGTGCGTTGGCAAGACTTCTTCTTGAACTGCGAACACCTGCACCGAGGCTTGGTATAATTTGCATACAATGCATTAGATAACGTTAGTGACTGCTTTATCGCCACTTTAGCCTACCACTCCATGCCATGGATAGTCCGTATGGAAGGCAGCTCCCAGAACACGTGAAAGGACATCACCAGTAATTAGTGTTATGCTTATTATAATGTATAATTGTACCCATTTTCTTCCTCAATTGCTGTTCTATAAGAAATCCACTTGGAGTGACTATGTATACATTAGAAACCTTATATATAATACATTTAACTCTAGAACATCCACGTATCTTTGATACTAATTTATTGTCATAATTTCCATGCTAGTGCTGGAAGATAATGTATATCCCTCAGAATAGGTTAATTTAAATGTAATAGTGCTTTGCATGTTTGTTTTCACGATAAAATAATATACTGGATAATTTTCCTGAACTTTGAGTTAAGTGTTACTGTTAAGGTGCTTGTTAGTTGTAGTATAGGCATTGTTGTGCCAGTGCGGTTCCAGGGGACTGTGATGTTTAGAACATGTTTATAACAAACAGGGCAAGTATTTATCTTGTTCTTGTATTTTAGGTAGGGCAGTGTTTTAGAGATCCCTTTAATGAGTATCCTACCCTTGCTTGTACATCCCCTACCATGTGAATTGATGGTAGTTTTAAACCCCAACCCTGTCCAATGTTCAGCACAGAACTAGAGCCAAACCTTTCTGGTTGTCTTGTCTGCCTCTTCCCACAGTGGAAGAGGGGGTGGGGGTTACCATCTAAATTTACCACCGTGGCAAGCCAGGATGCACTAAGGAAGCTTGTCCATTAGTGTGGTAGGAGTGGCTGCTTAGTAATGATGGTTTACTCTTGCATTCTTAACGTGTATGTCATGCTACCTTCATAAAGCAGTCCAGTTGAGCCGCCTTTATTGTGGAACTGCAATTCAATCTAGCTTGTTGCCACGGTGGGATATTTACAATAGTGAAGTTGCTGTCTTAATAGACCATCAGTTCTAGACTGCTAGTTACCGTCTAGTTGACCTATATTTACATGATAGGGGATGCTTTCCTGCTTAACCTGCCACTAAAGGGAGTTGCTATCCCACTAGTTTCCTTCTCACATGTAACCCGTAGCTGGGATGCTAGCCAAATGCCAAGTTGGGGGTGGTAGTCTGCCACTAGTGATGGGGTGCAATACTAACAGCCTTCCACCATGGCAGGAATGCTTCTTGATAAGTATGAGCTTCATGGTGGGGATGCCATCCTGCCTGGTACTACACGGCAGGTGGGCGTCCATGCTAATTGGATGGTCATACTTAAAGCGAGTTAGCCTTTCCTCCGTTGTGGATGAATGGTGTATTCCTCCATGGTTGCCAGTGTGTACCAAACACCCCCTGGTTCCGCCTGGTGTGTAATATTGTCCAGGTAGAGCCGGCTGGCCGTGTGTGGTGGTGCACTGTTATCAGCGACGTGTCGTGTCCGCATGCTGTCGGTGTGTACTTAGGCGCTTTCGCATTATAACTATTATAACAGTTTCCTTGGAACCTAAAATAATCCCCCTGGAAAAATTGTTTGATCAAATTATTCCAATTACATGTACAACAATAGACGACGGTGAGTATGTCCCCCTCGAACACATCCTGCCAAAAGAGGGTTTTCTGTATTCTGCATCAACCCCTTTTTTTCATTCAGCTCTTTTTTGAGACATTTGTCTTTTATCAGAAAAAAATTTGCTCTATACAGAATACCGTTGGATGGACCAGAATGCTTCGTCCCCAACAATGTGAAGTGTTTTGTTTTATCCCTGAATGATTTTTAGATGTACGTGTTTTTACTATTACTACAACTATTACTGTTCTACTGCTACTGTACTATTACTTATTACTACTACTTTTAGACTAAGTAGACATTTTCAGCCGTTGCATGCCAATTTCTCAGCGCAACACGGCTCTGTTAAACCTTCTTGTTAAACGCACCTCTGCCTCCCTCCCCTGCCTCTTAATTATATTCGATTCTCGAGCCTTCACTCTTCATCCCTATTTTCATGGCCATATAATACCTATTTAATTTTTCCTATCATCACCACTCATTCCCCGTCCGAAATTCTTGCATTCTTAACCCTACTCACCCTTGTCTTTGAGGCTTGTCATTTTTATAACTCCTTGTGATTTCCATACCTGTTTTATTGTCCCTGTCCCATTGGGTTCTTGTCAAAGCTGCTTCCCTACCTCCCAACACTATACCCTCCCGACGACCTCTCTCCTCATGTTTGCTATCCTCACAACCCATTGACATATTTTCCCCCCTGACATTCTCCCGATCCTCTCCACTTTTCATTTAATTCGTGAAACCTTGGGGGCAGGTAAGGAAGGCATGAGGTTAACATTGAAAAAAAAAAAGAATTAAGATGCGAACAGGGGCGTCAACCTGTCTCCAGAGAGCCTTGAGACAGCCAGTGTTGGAGCTGATATGTGTTTGTCCTGTTCTACCCCTTTAAAAATTTTTTTTTATATATTTAATGTATGTTTTAATATCTTGGTTAATTTACCATTGTGAGACTATTATCAGTGTTGGTGTACTCAGTTTATAAATTGCATGTCCAAAGTTTTCGATCATAATTTGGTGTATGTACTGTTATTTATCTCTCGTTTTAATTTGTATTTTTACTTTCCTCAGCATCTCTCTCTCCTTTATTGATCTCATCTTCGTCACCTCTACGTCTTGAACCCTACAGAACTTGTTTACTCTGACCTGCCACTCATCAAACCCCCACCCCATCACTCTCCCCCCACCCCCCTCATCATCAATATAGGTATCCCTCTCGACCTGAAGTACTTCCATTTTATATAACCTTTGTATCTCTCAACCACTTAACTCCCCTCATTTATGCCCGCTCGAGTTTCCTCTTTTATTCCCCTCTCCATCAATACCCCCTCAAACATTCTTCTTCCATCCTTCACCTGGTATACTAACCTTGTCCTTATCGTGTGTGTGTGTGTGTGTTTTCTTCGTTGCTGGGTCTTTGTTTATACTCTTCCCACTCTGTCAAAGCAGTTCCCCCTCCTCTGTTTCCTGGTACTCGTTCCCCTCCCCCTTTTGTCTGCTGGTGCTTGTTCCCCCCTCTTTGACTGCTGGTACTCATTCCCCTCCCCACTTTTGTCTGCTGATAGTCGTTCCCCCCCTCCCCTTAACGTTGCCATCGGTTGTCCTACCCCTAATCCCTTTGTGATGTTGCTTCTCCCTCATACTTTGATGCAGTCTCTCCCCTTGTCTCCCCCTTTCCCCTGGATCTTTCCTGTCTTACTTCCCCTCTCTACCTCTCTCCTCCTCCCAGGATCTCTCGTCTCCCCCTGGATCTCCTATCACCCCTCCCTACGCCCTCTTTTACCCCTCTCACTCATCCTGTATCTCTGTCTGTTTGTGTCTCCTATTTCTTAGTCCCGTTGTTCTCTTTGTCTCTTTACCGTCTCGCACTTTTCTCAGTCTCAAATTCCATTCACCCTCACCTTCACCGTTTTCTCCATTTATTGACCTCTTCCCCACCGTCTTTCATCTGGTAAACTATCGCTTCAGGAGTGCATGTGTGTGTGTATGTCTGTCTGTCTATGTGTGACTACTTATACTCGTGTACCAAGACTCAATTTCATCCCATGTATCTCCCGTTTATGTACCTGAACCCCCATCTTCCCTCGTGTACCTGAAACCCATCTTCCCCTCTTATGTACCTGAACCACCCCCTCGTGTACCTGCCTCTCTTCCCCTCTGTACCTGGACCCCTCTTCCCCTCCTCACGTGTACCTGAGCCCCTCTTCCCTCCTCATGTACCTGAGCCCCCCCTCTTCCCCTCATGTACCTGAACCCCCTTCTTCCTCCCTCGCCTTACCTGAGCCCCCTCTTTCTCCCTGCCCACCTGAACCCCCTCTTATGTACCTGAACCCCTCCTCTTCCCCTCGTGTACCTGAATCCCTCTCTTCCTCTCCGCTATCTGACCCTAATTAGACCCATATTATCTGGACCCTGCACCCCACCCCTGTATCTAGGTCCCTCCTGTGCTGATAACCTCTCCTGTACTCTTCCCTGTTGAGACCTTGGTTGTTTCTCTACTGGTTCCCACCTCCCAGTGAAACCTACGCCCAGTCCCTCTCTTGGTAGCCCCTCACTATTTCCCCCAGTGTGACCCCCCTCATTGCTCCCACCCCGGTTAGACCCTTCGTCACTTTATTGTTGGACTCCTCCATTAACTAGTATGGAACCTTGTCTCTGTCTTCCTGTTGCTTCCTTATTCCTACCTCCATTCCCTGCACCCCTAGTAGGGCCCCTCATTCCCTGCACCTAGTAGGACCCCCTCATTTCACCCTAGTGGGACCCCCTCATTCCTGCACCCTAGTGGGACCCCGCATTCCCTGCACTTCCTAGTGGGCCCCCTCATTCCCTGCACTTCCTAGTGGGCCCCCTCATTCCCTGCACCCCTAGTGGGACCCCGCATTCCCTGCACATCCTAGTGGGACCCCTCATTCCCTGCACTTCCTAGCGGGACCCCTCATTCCCTGCACTTCCTGGTGAGAACCCCTCATTCCCTGCACTAGTGAGAGACCCCTCATTCCTGCACCCCTAGTGGGACCCCTCATTCCCTGCACTAGTGGGACCCCGCATTCCCTGCACATCTAGTGGGACCCCTCATTCCTGCACTCCTAGTAGGACCCCCTCATTCCCTGCACTTCCTGGTAGAACCCCTCATTCCACACTAGTGAGACCCCTCATTCCTGCCCCTAGTGGGACCCCTCATTCCCTGCACCCTAAGTGGGACCTCATTCCCTGCACCCCTAGTGGGACCCCTCATTCCCTGCACCCTAGTAGGACCCCCTCATTCCCTGCACCCCTAGTGAGACCCTCATTCCCTGCACCCTAGTGGGGCCCCTCATTCCTGCACTTCCTAGTGGGACCCCACATTCCCTGCACTTCTAGTGGGCCCCTTCATTCCTTGCACCCCTAGTGGGACCTCATTCCCTGCACCTCCTAGTGGGACCCCTCATTCCCTACACCCTAGTGGGACCCCTCATTCCCTGCACCCTTAGTGGGACCCCTCATTCTCTGCACCTTAGTGGGACCCCTCATTCCCTGCACCCTTTAGTGGGACCCCTCATTCCCTGCACCCTAGTAGGGCCCCTCATTCCTGCACTTCCCTATGGTAGGACCCCCTCATTCCCTGCACCCCTAATGGGACCCCCTCATTCCCTACCCCTAGTGGGGCCCCTCATTCCCTCACTTCCTAGTGGGGCCCCTCATTCCCTGCACTTCCTAGTGGGACCCCCTCATTCCCTGCACCCTAGTGGGACCCCTCATTCCCTGCACTTCCTAGTAGGACCCCTCATTCCCTGCACTTCCTAGTGGGACCCCTCATTCCCTGCACCCTAGTGGGACCCCTCATTCCTACCCCTGTTGGGACCCCTCATTCCTACTTCCTAGTGGGACCCTCATTCCTGCACCCCTAATGGGACCCCCTCATTCCTGCACCCTAGTAGGACCCCCCTTCCCTGCACCCTAGTGGGACCCCTCATTCCCTGCACCCCCAGTGAGGCCCTCATTCCCTGCACTTCTAGTGGGACCCCTCATTCCCTGCACCCCTAGTGGGAACCCCTCATTCCACCCCTAGCAGGACCCCTCATTCCCTGCACCCTAGTGGGACCCCTCATTCCCTGCACCCCCAGTGAACCCCCTCATTCCTACTTCCTAGTGGGACCCCTCATTCCTGCACTTCTAGTGGGACCCCTCATTCCCTGCACCCTAGTGGGACCCCCTCATTCCCTGCACCCCTAGTGGGACCCCTCATTCCTGCACCCCCAGTGGGACCCCTCATTCCCTGCACCCCCAGTGGGGCCCCTCATTCCCTGCACTTCTAGTGGGACCCCCTCATTCCCTGCACTTCCTAGTGGGACCCCTCATTCCCTGCACTAGTGGGACCCCTCATTCCCTGCACCCTTAGTGGACCCTTCATTCTCTGCACCCTTAGTGGGACCCTCATTCTCTGCACCCTTAGTAGGACCTTCATTCTTTGCACCCTTATTGGGACCTTCATTCCCTGCCTCCTAGTGGGACCCCCTCATTCCCTGCACCTCCTAGGTAGGACCCCCTCATTCTCTGCACCCTTATTAGGACCCCTTCATTCTCTGCACCTTTAGTGGGACCCTCATTCTCTGCACTCATGGTGGGCCCTCATTCTCTGCACCCTTAGTGGGACCCCTCATTCTCTGCACCTTTAGTGGAACCCCTCATTCTCTGCACCCTTGTGGGACCTCATTCTCTGCACCCTTATTGGGACCCCTCATTCCCTGCACCTCTAGTGGGACCCCTCATTCTCTGCACCCTTAGTGGGACCCCTCATTCTCTGCACCTTTGGTGGGACCCTTCATTCTCTGCACCTTTAGTGGGACCCCTCATTCTCTGCACCTCAGTGGGACTCCTTCATTCTCTGCACCCTTATTGGGACCCCTTCATTCCCTGCACCTCCTAGTGGGACCCCTCATTCTCTGCACCCTTAGTTGTATCCATTCCTCCCCCCACACTAGGGAGTCCTCAATTCTTCCCACCTCTTGTTGGACTCCCCCTCCCAGGTG